ATACTGAACATAGTCCCAATGTGAATGTTATTTCATTGGCATGCTTTCAAAGCAGCGCGGTGCATTTTTTATTCTGAACCTTAGTATATTTTAAGAGAAATTTATTTGAAATAAATTATTTCTCTTTTATTAATTATAAGTAATGTTGGGTGTAACTAACATATGTATGTGTGGTTTTGTTTGTATTATACGTTTTGTGTTTACGTTAACATGTTTGGAAAAGCTATTATAAAAAATGTTAAATAGCAAAATAGCGAGATTATTTACCTAATAAAAAAAAGATCTAAAAAGGAAGCTTTGTTAAGGTGTTCAGTGAACACTCTGAACCATTCGACGCCTCGCCTCTGATCACGACAATCTAGTTAAAGGTGGCCACCCTGGAATTCGTCGTACATTGAAAAAGATACAAGAAAAATATGCATGGAGTAATATGACTCAGCATGTAAGAAATTATGTAAAAAGTTGCACTTTATGCATAAAAAATAGGACTCATAAACATATTAAGAGTTCTCTGATTTTAACACCAACCCCGACTAAAGCATTTGATACTGTGTTGATAGATACAGTAGGCGCATTACCAAAAACAGAATTTGGTAATGAGTATGCGATAACAATAATTTGTGATCTTACGAAATATATGGTAGTAATACCAGTTAAAAGTAAGCATGCAAAAATAATAGCAAAAGGAATATGCGAAAATTTTATATTAACATATGGTCCCATGAAGAAAATAATAACAGATATGGGAACTGAGTATAAAAACCAAATATTTCAGGAAGTAACAAAGTTGGTTAAAATGGAAAACACATTTTCTACACCTCATCATCATCAAACATTAGGTACGGTGGAACGTAGTCATCGAACTTTTAATGAGTACATGAGATCGTACATATCTATTAACAGAAATGATTGGGATGAATGGTGTGCATATTTCCAATATTGTTATAACGCAAAACCATCGACAGTACATGGACACTGTCCTTATGAACTAGTATTCGGGAAAATATCATATGACTTCGATTTCACAGGCACACTCGATCCTATTTATAATATCGATGCCTATGAAAAAGAGATAAAATTTAAGTTGCAAAATGCAACATTAAAAGCTCGAACAATGATAGAACGAGCCAAAGAAAAACAAAAATTAAATTACGATAAAAATACAAATAGAATAGAAATAGCTGTAGGTGATCAAGTATACCTTAAAAATGAAGGTAGCCATAAGTTAAGTAATAGATATAAGGCCCCATTTGTAGTAGTAAAATTAGATAGTAACAATAATGTGACGATTAGAGATGAAAACAACACAGTGACAGACTTAAAAAGAAGTAATTGAAAAAAAAAACAAATTTGTTTACTTTTTCACCTAATGTATTTTGTGGATTTTATTAATTATAATTGTTCTACTTCAATCATAGTTTTAATTCTATTTTAAAAATTCTAAATATAATTTTGTTTATAAAAAAAAAATATATATAACCACAAAAAACAAAAAAATTATATAAAATATAAATATATTCAATATTAAATATAAACTACATTTTTTATTTTTCAAGAATAATTTTATAATCAAAAATCTTACAAATTTTCAATTGTAAAATCATTCTCCAAAAAGAGGAGGTGTAGTGTGTATATGTGTGTCAGAATGCTTAATAGCACAATATTTTATTAACATTCCATTCCCATACTTTGTTGCACTGTTTATGCAACGGGAATACGAAACCTCACACGACGTACTTAACCGTCTGTGAGTTTATGCTGAAGCAGAAACCACACATATGCGCACTCACTAGAATAAGATGTACATACGCTGCGACGTTATGTACTTAGCGATAAGAAACTATGTAATGCTTAGCTCAAGACAACTGTCCGCTGAGCTTCGCTTTAATTTTAAAAATCAATTCTAACACAATATTAATAAATGACTCGAACTGAAAACAACACGTATTTACATTGCGGTTACAGGAGTTCCATCAGTATTCGTTAGATCAATGTTTCCAGAAATAATGTTTTAACTGGGAGACTTGGTTCCAACGTGACCGGCTGTGGACTTGAGTTGTAAAAGCTTTTCCAATTAATAAGTGTCCTAAAGTTAATGCTGTCAAAACAGTTGGATCATTGGACAATGGAGTCAATAATCGTGAATTTAATATGGCTTTAAGTTCCACCACCACTGTTTCAAGTTCTTTACATGTCAATGATGCTATGGAAACGCTGCGTAGTAACAAATATTTTACGGACTTTACGGATGCTTCCCATAAACCGCGAAAATGCGGAGCCCTAACTGTAACAGTAAAAAAGCAACTCTGAGTAATATTGAGCTGAATGCAGCCCTGCGAGGCAGCATGAAAGGTGAATGACAGTTCATACGAAGCAGGGAGACAGAAAAGAACGGAAATGACACACAAATGTGAAACCCTCACGTTGCGCGTAAAATAATATAAAATAAATGAATAATGAAGTAATTATAACGAATAGAATAGAATTATTTGTCAATAAAATATTTTTCGGTATTTACATAACCGATTACACTATCCCTTCAGTAACAATTTTTACCTTAATACCAAATAAATCGGCTTTGGGCAACCAGAATAATCCCAGGGACTTGATGGACTCGATATTATCATAAGTAAAATCCTGATTTACCTCTTGATCATCTTGAGAAATGTTTTTCAAAAGTTGAGGATGGTTTGCGCTCCATTTCCAAAGATAAAAATGATGCCTCTTCAAAATATGGATTAGTTGCCTTTCAGCTTCTAAGACCGTAATTAAACTATCTGATCCACCAAGCCCATCGTCAACGTAGAAATTGTCACACAGAATTTGAGCTCCTAATGGATAGTTCACCTTGTTTTCTAATGCTATCTTTTGCAGACATCTTGTTGCCAGATAAGGAGCTGCTCGAGTCCCATATGTAATTGTGTTGAGCTGATAATAACGAATTGTTAAATTTGGACTGCTTCTCCAAATGATTAGTTGATAGCGCCGATCTTCAGAATTTACTAAACCTTGACGACACATTTTTTCGATATCTGTAGTGAAAACAAATCGTGGTCGCCTAAAACGGAGCAAATTTGAAAAGAGTTCACTTTGAACTGTCTTTCCGTTATACATTAAATCATTCAACGAGTGTCCAGATGTAGTTTTAGCTGACGCATCAAACACCACTCGAAGTTTAGTAATGGTGTAATGTATATGCGTTAGTTATATTGGCAATGCATACAATTAATATATTAATAAGTGGTTCTATATTTAAATGTGCAGTGTATACAAAAATACACTAATTGTTTCCAAGCGCATTGCATTGTTTACAAACAAATGCACAATTCCACACAAGGAATTTGACACCACACATATCGGCGGCACTTTGCCTTCGATATAACCATATGCTTGCCAGGCATTGACCGCATATACAACAACATCAACAGTAAGCGTACTCGATACAAGTGGAATCGAATACGCTTACTTAGCAAATAATTATTAAATATTAAAGTACTTACGCTGCGTCGTTTTGTACATAAATATAAATAAATATTAATATAAATAATATTAAATACATAATAATCATAAAATATTTAGTAAATAAGAAAGTACATACGCTGCGTCGTTATGTACCTAGGTTAAGTTGAAAGTAGAAAACTAAATAAAAATCAGAACTAGAAGTGCACTCATAAGAAGCGCACTAGGTTCCAAAACAGCAAAACTTACTTGAGTTTTAATAAATACCAATTAATGTTAGCTAAAGGATCGCCAAGCAATATCGGCGTCTAAATATCCTTAGCGAAAATACTCATCAATAATTGGCGTATATTACATGGCGACCGTGACTTTGGTGCAGGATTATGTGCTCATTTTAAAAATATATATTTAAATATAAATATAATAAAATAAAAAAAAAAAAAATGACACATGTCCAATGCACCAGGGCCAAAAAACGTCTCACGATCAAGGAATGTTATATGGAAATATTACATGGCTCACAGCTATTCCTGTAGCACCAAAATCCAGGATGGGTGCAAGAACGGAAAAGGCCGGCAATAACAACAACTATAGCAACAGCAATAATAAATCAACAAGAATTACCACCATCGTGGGAAACTGCAATTTCAAATAGATGACATCATACAAGACAAGCGGAAACATAAGTATAATATTTTTTTTATAATTTATAAATAATTGTAATGGAGCTTGCTCTATCAAACTAAAGAGCAAACCAATAGAGGCACAACATGGCGTTAAGCCGTTGCCAAAAACCATAGGTAGGGATAATGTAAATTTTATATTACTTTGATTATTGTTTTGATAAATAAAAAAAAAAATCTTTAAATTAAATGTTTTAAATTAAAAAATTATATATATATTTTGCATTAAAAATTATAACATATTATAAAGTATGTTTTGAATTAAAAAAAAAAAAAAAATTTTTTTTAATTGTTTAATCACTACGGTATTTCTTTGATTTTTAATTTTTGTCTCTCTCTACTATTGATATTCTTTTTCATTGTTGTTTCTTATTTTACAATGGGGAGTCCTCAATCGAAAATAAATAAACCTGTAGCTAACGTAGTAAACGAAATAGAAGTTAATAGAAAAGAATCTTACGACCCAACAAAATTTTTCATAATAATAATCATTTTGCTTAGTGCAAACTTAGCTCTAAAACTGTATAAGGCTCATCGTAGATCCCTTAAGAAAAATTTTGTAAAAACTACAAATATCGCTACTGTATTAGAAAAAATATAGATGCTGCCTATCTACAGCACGTAAATCAACATTTCTCAAAATATTCTAAAATTACTTAGATTCGTCAAAATGAAAACTTTTAACTGTTTTGTATGTGGCAAAAGCTGCAAAACTAAACAGAAATTAGACAATCATTTGAAGAAACATAATAGAATAATTAACTATGCGAATGAAATAGTTAGAAAAATTTTTCATAAAATCAGTCAGTAAAATCCTTTGAAAATTCATCAGAAATAGAAAAATACCACGTTACAAATATGGCACAATCAGCTGACCAATTTATTAGTACAGCGTCACGACTCATTCCTGAGTATGACGGAACTGCATCCAATCTACAAAGTTTCCTTGACGGTATCGAAATGGTCGATGAGTTAAAAGGAGAACATGAAAGATTGGCAGTTACTTTAATAAAAACTAAATTAAAAGGTACAGCTAGGCAAATAATAACCACCGAAAACTCGATATTAGCCATAATAAATGCTTTAAAAACAAATATCAAAGGAGAATCGGTTGCAGTCTTAACTGCTAAATTAATGAATCTCCAACAGAAGAACAAAACTGCCAACCAATATACTAAAGAAGTTGAGCAATTAACTAAAGCAATTCAAGGTGCTTACATTTCGGATGGGATACCACCAAAAATAGCTATACAATATTCAACTAAGGCATCTGTAGATGCAATGGTTAAAAATTGTACACTTCCTGAAGTCAGACTAATTATGAAGTCAGGCCAATTCAATAATTTGAACGATGCGGTACAAAAATTTGTAGAAAGCTGCACGGATGCTACTGGCCGGACAGACACTGTTCTATTTACACAGCGTCAAAATACAAATAATTATCGCGAAAACAATCGCGTGAATGGAAATTTTAGAGGTAGAGGATACTACCGAAATAATAATTACAATAGGCAGAGACAATACAATAACTCTAATCAATATGGAAATCAGCGAGGACGCGGAAATAACCGCAGGATCCAACATAATGTTAGAATAACTAGTACTAATAATGGTACTAACCAAAACAATATTGGTTCGGAAAACCTGAACCAGCCTCTGAGAGATTAAAACATAACACAATATATAGCTTAAACCTTAACCTGGGCGTGTTTGTTAATTTTTTTAACAATGCCACTAATAAATTACTAACTCTATTAGTAGATACAGGAGCAGACGTGTCTCTACTAAAAATCGCAAATGTAGATAGATATGAAGTAAATAAATTTGAGGTAACAACCCTCAGCGGTATAGGCCAAGGTTCGATCAAATCATTGGGTCTTACACAATTAGATCTTAGAATTGAAAATATTCTAGTAACACATAAATTTTATGCAGTACAAGATGATTTTCCTATACCATGCGATGGAATTATCGGCATGGACTTTCTAAGAGAATTTAATTGTAAACTTGATTTCATGCAAAATAAAGAATGGCTCGTTTTACGACCAAAATGTTTTCCACAGCATATTGCCATACCAATTAAAAACACTTGTGACAATGATTTTATCATGTTACCAGCAAGATCTCAAGTAATTAGGAGAGTATACCTCAGCGCAGAGCAGGAAGATTTATTGGTGCCAAACCAAGAATTACAACCTGGTGTGTTTATTGCAAACACTATAGTTCAAGGTAATAATGCGTTTATAAGGATACTCAACACGAATAGTTCAGTTACAGCTTTAAAAGCTAAAAATATAAAAACTGAAAAAATATCAAATTATGATATAATACAACCAAAAGATACTTCATACCATAGAACTAAAGAAATCATAAATAGATTATCCAAAAATTTTCCTAATAAATTTAGCGACAAGTTAACAACACTTTGTACAAATTACAGTGACATATTCGGTTTAGAAAATGAACAAATTTCTGTAAATAATTTCTACAAACAGCGTTTAAGGTTAAGTGATAAAACACCAAGCTACATAAAAAACTATAGAATACCACATACCCACAAAGCAGAAGTCGAAAAACAAGCAAAGAAATTGGTAGATGATGACATAGTAGAACCTTCAATGTCAAACTACAATAGTCCTTTGTTATTAGTACCCAAAAAGTCATTACCCGGTTCAAATGAGAAAAGATGGCGGTTAGTAGTGGACTACCGTCAAATAAATAAAAAATTGATTGCAGACAAATTTCCTCTTCCAAGAATAGAAGACATTCTTGATCAATTGGGAAGAGCTAAATATTTTTCATGCCTTGACCTACTGTCTGGATTCCATCAAATAGAGCTACACGAATCTTCAAGAGATATTACATCCTTCTCTACAGAAAATGGCTCTTATCGTTTTAAACGACTCCCGTATGGATTGAAAATTGCTCCAAATTCTTTTCAACGCATGATGACTCTTGCGTTTTCTGGTTTAACACCATCTCAAGCATTTTTATATATGGATGATTTAGTTGTACTCGGATGTTCTGAAAGACATATGTTTAAAAATTTGACAGATGTTTTTGAGCTATGTCGGAAGTACAATCTTAAACTACATCCTGACAAATGCACATTTTTTATGCATGAGGTTACATATCTCGGTCATAAATGCACTAACAAAGGCATCCTTCCGGATGACAATAAATACACAGCAATCAGAGATTACCCAGTACCGACTGATGCTGATGGAGCACGACGATTTGTTGCTTTTTGTAACTATTATAGAAGATTCATAAAAAATTTTTCTGATTATTCTCGACACATAACGAGATTAACCAAAAAGAAAGTTCCATTTCAATGGACTCAAGATTGCCAAAAAGCGTTTGATTATCTAAAAAATGAACTTATGAATCCAACTATTTTACAGTATCCAGATTTTAAAAAACCATTCTGTATCACTACTGATGCAAGCAAGCATGCTTGTGGTGCAGTACTCAGCCAAGAGCATGATGGTAGACAACTTCCAGTCTCCTACGCTTCAAAGACTTTTACTCAAGGAGAAAGTAACAAGTCAACCATTGAACAAGAACTTACTGCAATTCATTGGGCTATAACACATTTTAGACCATATATATATGGTACACATTTCTTAATTAAGACTGACCATCGCCCATTAACCTACCTTTTCTCAATGAAAAACCCGAGTTCAAAACTAACTCGAATGAGATTAGATCTCGAAGAATACGATTTCACAGTGGAGTATCTCAGAGGCAAAGAAAATTATATTGCTGATGCTCTATCGAGAATTACGATAGACGATTTTAAAGATATGAATGAAAAATCTATAAAGATTCTCAAAATGAGAACTAGATCAACCACCAAACAAAATAAAGAAATAAATACCCTCGACCAACAATTAAAGTACGAAAAGCCCCATATATACGAAGTCATTAATAGTACTGACGTCAGAAAACAAATAAAATTGAAATTGACTTCTAACCACTGTTATTTAAAACGTGGAAATAAAATTATTGAAAAAATAATAATTGATGATCTGTTTGTCAATGGGAAAATTGACTTAGGACAATTATTCCCAAGGTTAGAGAAATTAACCTGCAAACATCGCATCAACAAAGTACAAATGGCACCTAGTGAGAAAATTTTCGAATTTGTCTCAATAAATGAATTTAAGGCCAAGGGCAATAAATTATTGAAAAATTTAACAGTAGCGCTACTGCCAAAGGTGACCAAACTGGTTAAAGAGGAAGAAATAAGAAAAACTTTAAAAAATTACCATGATGACCCAGTGGAAGGTGGACACTGCGGAATAACAAAAACGTTACAAAAAATTAAAAGACATTTCTATTGGCCAAACATGACCAAAGATATATCAAGATATGTCAAATCATGTCAGAAATGTCAAAAATCTAAAATTAATAATCATACAAAAATACCAATGACAATAACTGACACGCCAACAGGCTCTTTTGACACAGTATTGGTAGATACCATTGGTCCATTACCTAAAACTGAGAATGGCAATGAGTATGCTGTCACACTTATATGTGATTTAACAAAATACTTAGTAACTATACCAATACCAAATAAAAGTGCAAATACTGTAGCCAAGGCAATTTTTGAAAATTTTATACTTTTGTACGGTCCAATGAAGACGTTCATTACGGACATGGGTACAGAGTACAAAAATTCTTTAATAACGGATATATGCAAATACTTAAAAATCAAAAATATAACATCAACAGCTCATCACCATCAAACACTCGGAACTGTAGAACGCAGTCACCGAACATTTAATGAATATGTACGTTCATACATATCAGTCGATAAAAACGACTGGGATATATGGTTGAAATACTTCACATATTGTTTCAATACAACACCATCAGTGGTGCATGGATATTGTCCATACGAGCTTATTTATGGAAAAATTCCTAAATGTTTCAATAAATTCAATACAATTAGTAACATAAGTCCATTATATAATTTAGATGACTATAGTAAAGAAATTAAATATAGATTAGAAATAGCGCACACTAGAGCCAAAACACTTTTAGATAAGTCTAAATTAAAACAAAAGTTACTCTATGATAGAAATAGTGAACAATTAGAATTAAAAATAGGAGATAAAGTACTACTTAGGAATGAAGTAGGTCATAAGCTAGATAGTCAATACACGGGTCCCTATAGAATAGAAAGTATAGAAAACAATGGAAACATTGAAATAAGAAACAATAAAAATAAGAAACAATTAGTACATACTAATAGAATAAAATTGTACAATGAATAAGTTAAAATAAATGTAGTGATTACACAAATAAATATAACTAAACTAAATATAATTATATAAAACTATTGAAAATTAAAACTTTATTTAAGAAAGTAAGAATAATCCCGTTATGGCATTATTCTTTCCCAAAAAGGAGGTGTAATGTATATGCGTTAGTTATATTGGCAATGCATACAATTAATATAATAATAAGTGGTTCTATATTTAAATGTGCAGTGTATACAAAAATACACTAATTGTTTCCAAGCGCATTGCATTGTTTACAAACAAATGCACAATTCCACACAAGGAATTTGACACCCCACATATCGGCGGCACTTTGCCTTCGATATAACCATATGCTTGCCAGGCAT